AAATGAAGAAATATAGGTTCTTATATTCTTTGTTATGCATGGAGCTCCATATTTGTCTGTCTTGGATGTTTAGGGTTACGTCTAAGAATGTTTAGTATTATTCTGCATTGGATAGCTTTAGTGTGAACTTGACTGATGGGTGGAAGTTATTTAGGAAATAGTAAAACTGCTGTAGTGTTTCTTTTCCATGATTCCGTATACCAAATATGTCATCAGTGTATCTGTACCACACTTCTGGTATTAAACCTGAGTTTTATCTATACGTGTCAAGGGCTTTGATTTCTAGTGTATGCATGAATATTATTGCAAATATGACTGCTGCTCTGTTACCCATTGCTACTCCTTTCTTTTGTTTGTACAAAGTGTCACCAAATTTAAGATAACTGTTATATAGGGCAAACTGAGCATTGTTTCTAATGTGATGTACAATTGAAAAATGTGTTAATCAAGTGAAGATATAAAATTAATGATATTATCTATGCCTTCTTTTATGGGTATAAGGCGATTACATCAAAGGAAAATAAAATAGAGTCAGCATGTATTGTTTGTATAGAAGAGTGTATTTTTTCTAATAGGTCTTTAATATTGGTTATGTATGATGGAACATACTTTAGACATGGTTTAAACAGTTAATCTAGTAACCAGGATATGGTTTCTGTTGCATAGTCATATGATGACACTTTGGATCTTAAAGGTAAATTTTGTTTATGGTTTTTAGGGACACCATATAGTTCAGGTATATGGCTATGGGAGAGTTTTAATTCCATTAGCACTTTCTTCCCGTAGATATCTTAAGTATCTTTTTGGCTTCTTCTTCAAGCGTTTTGGTTGGATTTTTGTTTAATGTAACATAGGTGGAAGTGTCTTGAAGGTGTTCCTCTATTTTACCATAGTAAATGTTTTTGGTTAAGACTACAAAACCTTTCTTTTTGTCTGATTCTATTATGATTAGATTGTCATTTGTTCTGAGCTCTTTTATAGCTGCTTTTTTTGCTGGTGATATGTTATCTTTTTCTTGAGGATTTTCATGTGTAGCTAGGATATTTTTTATCTGGTGCTGTAGGAAGGAAATCTCTTGCCCTATGGCAGTTGATACTTCTGCGAGTCAAATGGGTGATTGCTGATTAAAAGTTGATTCTGATTACCTTCTTGGTGATTTCTATCTCCTATTGGGTGTTGGTTAGTAGAAGATAGAACAATAGTGAAACAATAATAATAATCTATACATTTTTAGATGCACGTTATGGCAGAATCAACAAATAGAACATTACAAGCAGTTTTATAATTTAATGAATATTCTAATATCAAACAGGTGTACGTACTAACCCTGATGAAGATGCAAAGGCAAAATTCTGGTTAAAATAAAAAATTCTTTTGTAATTATCTGAAGTATAAAGGTTGTTTTTTTTCCAACATTTTATCAAAATGTGTAAATACTTCCAGTATGCACTACAAATTTTGAAAAGATGTAGACATTTTGGAATTTTTATCTTTTGCACAGAGGAAAACACAATTTGGGGTTTTCATGAACTATTCAAGTGTATGTCCAACTTACATGGGATTTGGTACAAAGACACCTTCTTGCAAGTTCCAAGCAATGATATGGGCATTTTCGATTTTTCTGTGTTTTTATTGATTTCGTATATTTGTCAGTGTGCTGATTTTCCACCTATTGCTAATGTTTCTAAGCAATTATGCATTACAAATTTAGAATATCGAAAAGGCTGCATAAATAAACAGTACATTTTCGTGTTAGTTTAAATTAATCCCTAATTATATTTTTAAGTGGTCACTAAGAAAAGGGGCACCAAATTCAGGTTTCTGTGATTTCAGACCCTGGATCTCCTTTTCTGGGTCCACAGTCAACACATGTTCCTGGTGCCCTTTATCTGGTTACGGATCATTTATCTCAACCCAACAATATTTTCCCCACAGAGTGGTCCCTCGATCCACAGGTCTTTTAGTGGATGTTCTCAGCTGGGAACACCTCATATTGATGCTTTCACCACCCACTACCTCTGGGAGTGGACACATTCAGTCAAGATTGAAGGGGTCATTACATCTATGCTTACCCTCCTATTTGTCTCCTCTCCTGACTTCTATCTGTAATCCAAACCACTCCATGTGTAGTTATACTTATGGCTCCATATTGGCCACTACAATAATGGTTCCATCTGCTCCAACCTTTACTTGTACAACTTCCCCTACCCTTACCTCTGTCTCAGTCTTTACTCCATCAACTTCAGTCTGTCATTGTTCATCCATATGTCACCATAATTTGGCTTCACACATGGCTTTTGTCGGGTCCATTGCCTCAACCCACACATTGACTCCATGTGTTGCATCTTTCCCTTCTCAATCCATCACACCTTCCATGTTTATTTACCAAAGGCGATGATGTACTTGCTGCCTTTGGTCTATTCTATCCTTTCCACCCTTACGTTCCTCATCTTTCCCAATTCTTCACCTGGTTGTTTGACAAAGGTTTGTCTGCTTTGACCATGTCTAGCTATCAGGTGGTGTCAGGGTTTTAACTATGAGTGGCTAAGGATTCTTCTACAATAGGTGTCTGTGAGTTGTTTGCGATAAATTCAACAATAAACAGACAGTACATGCTCCACTTCAAAATAAGTCAAACTATGTTCAAAAATTCTTTACACAATGGATACTGCATTTGTTTCTCAAATTCTAAATAATTATATTTTCTTGTCAAAAATCCACTTAAGCTGATTCAATTATTTTAGAATCCAATTGACAAAACAAATTATTTTTCTTTATCTTCTTTTCTCACAACACAAATCAGTGAATAATTCACTTCCGCTATCCCGTGAATTACCAGTTATATCTTGAACTTCAAATAATTGTCTCCTTTTCGTCAAAGTCCACACAGAGGAGTTCAATTACTTTAGAACACCATTTTGGCCAGACAAATTATTCTCCTTATCTCAATTAAACTGTGAAACATTAAAATATCGCCCATTACGGCTAATCACTCAAACGCCGGTTAACTTAACATTTTCTTTCGGTAATTAATTTTCTGACTGAATTGCACTTGACTTGCGTATGCCTGGACGCCAATATTTAAATGTTGTTCACTGGGGCCTCGAACTTGCTCTAAACTACGCGAGCGTAGAGTAACAATACTTAGTTAAAGTAACAAGAAAGAAAAAACGTCAACAATATTAGTAAAGCCTAGACAACAATGTAAAAGCAAACACAACGTACGACTCTCACAGAGTTACGTAACGAAATTTGTCACAACTATCACTTTTAAAACAATCCATCTTCAACACTCTTGTCTTAAAAGCTAAACAATTAGTAAATATTAAGCCACAAAATAAGGTAACTAATAAAACTTACACTAAACGTTTTGTATATCCAACAAGCGGCCTTTTCGAACACCTGTTTCTCCAAGTTTTGTCTTCCCCTATCATTTCCTTCCTTTTCTACTTCCTTCTAGTCATACATCCTCCACGTTCCTTTGATTTGCTTGATTGGGATCTCAATGTTGTCATTTCCTGTCCTCCCTTTGAACCTTTGTTTATATGTTCCATGTACCCTCTATCCCTCAAGACCTATTTCCTTCTCTCTAAGACCGTTGCTGCCCGTGAAGGTAGTTTGGCTTTAACACCCATTTCCTTACCTTCCATCTTCTACCTTTTCTCCCATTACCATCCTGATCAGATTCTTTGTCCAGTTTGCTCCTTTCGGAGTTCACGTTCCCGACTTTTTATGAAACTTGTGAACAACCAAAAATACCATCAATGTTGTAAATAATTAATTCCACTAATTACTTTTTTGTTTCCTGTGCATTTCACATAAGGAGTGAGAAACCTCATTCCATTTATTTTGTCCATTTCTTCTCACGGAAACTACTTACTGTTTCCTGAGACAGTTCTGTTGTATCCTGTTTACCTTGTGTATAGATAATTGCTTTTCAACTGTCACTTGGAGCAGAATGCTTCTGGGTTCTTGTGACCCATTTTTCTAATTGAGCAACTATGGAGATAATGTAAATTAAGAAAATAGTCTTGACGTTGTCAAACACATTAATTTCTAATTTGGAAATTTGTTAGTCTGTTTTAACGCAAAGGTGCACAGTAGGCTATTTGCATTCAGTCCATGAAAGGGAATCAAATCCCGCGTTTTAGCTTTGTGAGTCCATAAACTTATCACTCACTCACTGGAAGACGATTCTGAAAGAGCCCGTACTCGCTTGAAGACTTGTCACCGTTTTTCATCGTTTTTTCAAGCTTCTGCTGATCGTGATTTAATTTGGTTAACAGTAACGTTTAATTTTATCCAGTTTTTATATAAAGAAAGTTTTCTTTCATTTACTTTACGTTTTAACAAACCCATTTCCTTCGTTTATAGCTCCTCAGTTGCATAGCAGTTTCGATACCCGTTGTGGGCAGAGCACAGATAGCCCATTGTGTAGCTTTGTGCTTAATTACAAACAAACCTTCGTTTTCAACATTGTAACAACCCAATAGTCAATCCATTCGTTTGTTTCCTTACCAATAAAGTATCTGAAATTTATTCTAACTTCAACACTGAGTCATGTTTCGTTCATTTCACGTGTAATAAATCACTAACTTTGTCCTTCCGCTTACTAGAGCCACAAATCTCTAGTATGGCGGAAAGCAAGTAATTGCGTGCTCATTTTATTCTTGAATAACTACACATGCAAAATAATAATTTTACTTAATATGTTATTATACGCAAACTATAAACAACTGCTCTATACTGTCCACTTTTTATTTGTTTGTTTTTGAGAAATTAATTCACAACATGGGTGAAGACAGGCTGGCGCCCATATTTTTAAGAAAGAAAGATTTTTATTGTTTTTGTTTGCTATACTTTGACACATTTGGCGAAGTATAAAAAAACAAATCATGCATGTATTGGCAGATAATAGCCGATAAGGAAAATCATTCACTTACACTATTTAAAGTATGCTCTATGTTCTATGTCATGTTCTAAAATATAAATGCATGTATGCTTGTAACAAGCATGCACTAACACATGTCTTAGTATAGCTTTGCCTGCGTACAAGTTAAAAAGTATATACTGTAGTAAATTTACGCTGTCATTTTTTTCGCCTTTGAGTTGGAGTTAATACATTGCAGACGAAGTAAGTGATATTGCCTATTGTGCGTATATTAATGGATTCTACGTAAAGCTTATCAACTATAATTGCTAATAGTATGTCTGTAATTGCGTCTATGACGCCCGATGCCTTAAGATTTAATCATACATTATACCCCCGACCCGGCCAGGTGGTTGGGGCGCTCGACTCGCAATCTGCAGGTCGCGGGTTCGAATCCCCGTCCCAACAAACATGCTCGCTCTTTCAGCCGTGGGGGTGTTATAATGTTACGTTCAATCCCACTATTCGTTGGTAAAAGAGTAGCCCAAGAGTTGGCGGTGGGTGGTGATGAATAGCTGCTTTTCCTCTAGTCTTGCACTGCTAAATTGGGGACGGCTAGCGCAGATAGCCCTCGTGTAGGTTTGTGCGAAATTAAAAACAAACAGTAAATTATACCGTTGCGGCGCCACTTTTGATCGATCTCTGCGCAGTTCAACTTACAGAGGTTTTTTTTTTATATATATTTGTGATATAAGCATGGATGATTATTTACTCAAAACGAAATAAAGCAATATTTTTGTGTAAGTAAGCATAATTTTGCCGTTTGAAATTCTTACAAACGTTTGTATTTTATATTCAGCAATCTGATAATTATTATTGCAAAGTGAACGTCATGAAATATTTTATTCAACAACCCATACATGTCATAGAGTTACTTATTAATTTTCTTTTAACTAAAACTAAATCAAACAAAC